CTTTAGGGCAGCGGTTCTCAACCTGTGGGTTGTGACCCCTTTGGGGGTCAAACAACCCTTTCACAGGGGTCGCCTAAGACCATCGGAAAACAAAAAGATATTTATATTACGATTCATAACAGTAGCAAAATTACAGTTATAGAGTAGCAACGAAAATAATTTTATGGTTGGGGGTCACCACAACATGAGGAACTGTATTAAGGGGTCGCAGCATTAGGAAAGTTGAGAACCGCTGTTTTAAGCAGTATGGACATTTTAACTATATTAATTCTTCCTGTCCATGAGCATGGAGGTGTTCCCATTTATTTGTATCTTCTTTAATTTCTCTCTTCAGTGTATTATAATTTTCTGAGTACAGGTCTTTTAACTTTTTTGGTTAAATTTATTCCTAAGTATTTTATAGTTCTTGAAGCAACTGTAAATGGAACTGTTTTCTTAATTTGTCCTTCTGATAGTTTATTATTGGTGTATATAAATGCATCTGATTTCTGAATATTAATTTTTTATCCTGCTACCTTACTGAATTCTTTTATCAGTTCCAACAGTTTTTTGGTGGACTCTTTGGGGTTCTCTGTATAGTATCATGTCATCTGCATATAATGACAGTTTTACTTTCTCCTTACCAATTTGGATGCTTTTTATTTCTTTTTCTTGTCTGATTGCTGTAGCCAGAACTTCCAGAACTATGTTGAATAAAAGTGGAGAAAGTGGACAGCCTTGTCTTGTTCCTGATCTTAAGGGAAATGGTTTTAGCTTTTCCCCATTGAGTATGATGTTAGCTGTGGGTTTATCATGTATGGCCTTTATTATATTGAGATAAGATCCCTCTATTCCCACTTTGCTAAGAGTTTTAATCATAAATGGCTGCTGGATTTTGTCAAATGCTTTTTCTGAATCTATTGATATGACCATATGATTTTTATTTTTCACTTTGTTGATGTGGTGTATCACATTAATTGATTTGCGGATATTGAATCAACCTTGCATACTAGGGATGAACCCCACTTGATCATAGTGTATGATCTTCATATTGAGTTGTCAGAAAAGTCATGACGCATTTTTGCGATGAAAAACAGAAAAAATATGTCATGACTTTTCCGACAACCCAATATATTGCTGAATTCTGTTTGCTAATATTTTGTTGAGGAGTTTTGCATCTATGTTTATCAGGGATATCGGCCTTTAGTTTTCTTTATTTGTAAAGTCTTTGTCTGATTTTGGGGTCAGGGTAATAGTGGCTTCATAGAAAGAGTTTGGGAGTCTTCCCTCCTTCTGGATTTTTTGGAATAGTTTGAGTTGAGTACAATAGGTCATAATATTTTTTAAAAAAGATTTTATTGGGTAATTGGGGAAGGGGAACAGCGTTGGGGAATCGGGGAAGGGGAACAGACAAGTTGTTGTCCTTTGGTTCTTCAGTCTAGTTGTGGAGGACGTCGCTTCACTGGCCCATGTTGGTATTATCATTGAACTCTTCCTGGGTGAGGCAGTCGCTCGCCGACCATTGGATGGCTGCTCACGGGACAGCAGGAGACTCACCTCAGATCAAAAGACACATACAGGCTGAAAGTAAAGGGATAGAGTAAAATATTTCATGCAAATGGAACTGAGAAAACAGCTGGAGTAGCAATACTTATATCATATAAAATGGACTTTAAATTGAAGAATATAATAAAGGACAAAGAAAGGCACTTCATAATAATAAAAGGATCGATTCAACAAGAGGACATAACCCTAGTAAACATCTATGCACCTAACATAGGAGCCCCTAAATATATAAAACAGATATTGACAGACAAAGATGGAGATCAACAGTAACATTATCATAGTAGGGGACTTCAACACCCTGTTGTCTCCAATGGGCAGATCCTCCAGACAGAAAATCAAGGTGGAAACAGCGGCCTTAAATGACACATTATACCAGCTGGATTTAATTGATATTTTCAGAGCATTTCACCCCAAAGCTACACATTCTTCTCAAGCGCACATGGAACATTTTCCAAGATAGACCGTATGTTAGGACACAAAACCAGTCTCAATAAATTTAAGGAGATTGAAATCACATCAAGCATATTCTCTGACCACAATGCTATGAAACTAGAAATAAATTATAAGAAGAAACCCGGAAAGCACACAAATACATGGAGGTTGAATAACATGCTACTAAATAGCGAGTGGGTCAAAAAATTGCAGAAAAATGGAAAGAAGGAGGAAAAGTAGAGCAGGGAAAAGAAAGAAGAGAAGAAGGGAGCGAGGGGAGGAAAAAAATATATGTCTACACACACATATATATATATATATATGGACATATATATATATACATATATAAAAACTAAAAATGATAATGAAATAGAAAAACAAAAACAGCCAAAACAGAAAAAACTCAAAAAACCACCCCAAAAACAAAAAACATCAAAAAAAGCCAGTGCCAGTCTTGGCTAAAGTCCTCCAAGCTATCCCCAAGTTGTCCTCTGCTGTACAAAAGCTCCTCTGCATCTTGTGGGGGCAGAGCCGGCCACCTGGCGCCCAGAGTGACCATGGTGATGCAGTTCTATAGGGTTGTCGGAAAAGTCATGACGTATTTTTTCTATGTTTTTTGTTGCAAAAATGCTTCATGACTTTTCCAACAACCCAATAGATGAGTGGGGCTATGGGGTGTGGTTGGTAGTTTTTACAAAGTCAGTTCCGTTTCTGCTCTCCCCTGCCCAGAAGCACGCTGAGAGCTCCACAGCCAGAAGGCTCAATGTGCATCTCTTTCCGCTGGGGGCTGTGAAGGGTGTGAGATTTCCAAGCTGCTAAAAGCTCAGCTGGGGTCCTGCGAGTGACTCAGCAGCTGAAGTTGCCCTGCCAAGAGCCAAGCCTGGCAAGAAAGGTGGGGGCAGGGTTGGCAATCCCACACTCTTTTCAGCCGCTTCCCTAGCTGAGTTTTTCCATTTCGTGGGAGTAGGAGCACCTCTGTAATTTGACACTATTCCTCCATTCAGGGATCAGCTTAAGACTCTGGAATAGCAGGGCTAGGGTTTCTAAGGGAGGGTGGGAGTAGGGTCTTATTTATGGAGTTGTTTTTGCTTTCTGTCCGCGAGAGCCCCACCGCAGTTTTGAGCTGAGGCTTCTGCCACAGATGCTGGGCACCCCTGTGCGCTTGCTGAACTCTGCAGGGCTGTGAGGCGCAGGGAGTGAGCCCATTGCCTTTCCGCTGTAAATACTCTGATCTGTTTCCTGGGGCCCGTCTCCGCAACTGCAGGTGCGGGCTGCATCTCCATACATATCCCTTCCCTCTTCCCCCACTCGTCTGGTTTGCCCACCTTCAAGTAATTGTCTTGCCAGTCTCTTAGCTCTTCTGTGTGATGGGCAGAGATTCCTCTGATGAGTTATAGCTGTTGAATTTGCGGTAATTTCTCGGGGGAGAACTCAGCCCTCCTCACAGACACCATTTCTGTGACATCTCCCTACATAATCTTTACAACATTACTGATTATATTCCCCATACTGTATTTCATATCCCCGTGGCTATATTGTGACTATTAATTTGTACTTTCTAATCCCTTCACCTTTCTCACCCATCCCCACCCCCTCCCATCTAGCAACCATCACTTTTTTTCTCAGTATCACTGAGTCTATTTCTGTTTTTTTTTAAGGTTTTTATTGGGAAATTGGGGGAGGAAACAGCATTGGGGAATCAGGGAAGGGGAACAGACAAGTTGCTGTCCTTTTGTTCTTCAGTCTAGTTGTGGGGGACGTTGCTTCACTGGCCCATGTTGGTATTATCATTGAGCTTTTCCCGGGTGAGGCAGATGGGTCGCCGGCCACTCACGGCAGCTCTTGGCAGCTCACGCTGGCTTCTCGCTGCTCATGCTGGCTGCCGGCCACTCACGGTAGCTTACGGCAGCCCACTGCAGCAGTGGCTGCAGCCTACACCTTCACCCGGGACTCATGGCAGCCCAGCTCAGGGTCGAGCTGTTGTTCACCATCTTAGCTGTAGAGGGCGCAGCATCACTGGCCCTAATATGGGATCCGAACCGGGGCCCTGCTGTGCAGAGCTGGCATCCCAAGCCAACTCTTAACCAGCATTCCACTCAGCTGGCCCCTCTATTTCTGTTTTGTTTGCTTGTTTATTTTGTTCCTTAGATTCCACATATAAATGAGATAATATGGTATTTGTGGTATTTGTCTTTCTCAGCCTGACTTATTTTGCTTAGCATCATATTCTCTAGGTCTGTCCATGTTGTTGCAAATGGTAGGATGACTCAGTTTATTTCATAGGATATAGTCTGAATTCACTTCTCTCAGAAATAAAACTGATACATTCCAAATATTTTTTTCTAACAATTATTCCTAAAGGTAATATACATTTTTTATTGCTTTGAGAAAGGTGAAATATGTTTCATAGCACATTAATATAGCAATTAATATTTCTTTAATAAATTAATAAATGAATTTTTTATACTGAGTTTTGGATTATGTAATTTATAGTCTATTTTAAATGGACTTTCAATTTTCTTGCAATTTATTAGATTTAGTAAGAATTATTTTTATCTAGGAAACTATCTAGGAAAGTTAAACATTTGATTTTATTCTTTAATGATATTAAGTGTTTAAAACTTATCTAATTATTATTTAAAGCTGTAAAGCTAACTTAACTCATTCCCCAGGTATGCTGTGGAGCAATGGAAAGTAACTTAAAAAAATTTTTTACAAAAGTTTATATCCTTATTTTTGTGTCTTTGTCATTGTTTTTTAGCAGAGAAAAAATGGCAACCTCACTGTTGGTTGAGTAGTAATTATAATTCTGGTTATCTCTTATTTCAGATGCTACTGTTTACTTGCCAGGTCTTCAAATTGCTTTTCCATGCATTCTGTCCAGGCTTGGAGTATGCTTAACTCCATCTAACCTGAGACTGAAACGTTTGTCTGTTTGTCTGTTTTTGCCATTAAACATGGCATGTACTTGACTGTTTGGTTCCAGTTTTGTTTTCTGTTTTTTTCCCTCTCCACTTTACTAGACTGATACAGAAAACATGGCTACTGCAATTAGGGAGGTGGGAGTTTGGAGACAGACCAGAACACTCCTACTGAAGAATTATCTAATTAAATGCAGGACCAAAAAAAGTAGTGTTCAGGTAAGTTAAATGCCTTTCTTATGCTTCATTGCAGTTTATTCTGCATTCCATCTTTTAAGAGATTTTTATTTTGCTGGATAAATTTTGATTATAATTTTATATTTTTAGGTTTCTTTAATTTGCTTGTGAAGTAAAAACTTGTGTTAGCTACAGAAAAATACTTAAATTACCTGTTTTCTAAATGTTAAAAATTTTGATGATTCCTAAATTTAGTTAATTTCTAATATCAGTGCTTAATTTTGAACTTTTAGGCATGCATTTCCCAAGTTTCATGAAATGAAAAATAAATTCCATAGACAACTTTGTGGAACATATTCCACAGTTTATTTCCCCATGACCTCCCAGCTTTTGGATTATGGACTGGATTGCCTAGAATTACCAAAATTATGTCATGTATTTGTTCCCATAAGCATACATTACTTTAAAAGGTAAAAGAAAGGAAGGACTCTGGCTAAACAGTTAATAATTTTAAAGGATGAAAATATAGTGAACATCTTCTGAAACCAACAGAATAATTAAACAGCAAGACGAAATAGTAGATAGTTCATCCTTATTACAGTGGACTATTGAATTTAACCGTGTATTTTGTTAGTACTAGAAATTGAATAAAGAAATTTTTATGGTGATCCCTATTAGGGATGTTTGGTAAGTTACTTTAAATAAAGTTATATATTAGTAAATTTATTATATTTTACATTAATAATCTAAGATGTTTAAATACCACTTTTTATATATTAATTTATCATATGACTTGAATTTTAAAATATTTCAGTAAAACTGAAAGTAAAGGAAAATTGTCTGATATGCTTGTTAAGTGAGATGCTCAACACATTATTAGTGTTATATTATTTACATAGAAATCTTGATGAATTTTGCTGCTATTGTTATACTTTATAATCATTTTGTTTCCTTTATTACAGGAAATTGTTTTTCCACTATTTCTTTTATTTTGTTTAATACTAATTAGCATGTTGCATCCAAATAAGAAATATGAAGAAGTGCCTAATATGGAACTTAATCCTATGGACAAATCTATCCTCTCTAACCTAATTCTTGGATATACGCCAGTGACTAATATTACAAGAAGCATCATGCAAAAGGTTTCTTCTACTGATCACCTTCCAGATGGTATTGTGAGCTTATATATGTATTCTATCTGTGACAGAAAGCCTTTTCAGGATTTTTCTGCTTGCTTTATAGAGTAAATAACATTCTTAACATTTAGAGATATGTCCCTTCTACAAAGTACACTTTTATAAAAATATTAAAATCATTTAATTCTGCTGCCTTATATTTCTTGTAAAACCATAGTTTATATTCTTGGTAATAGGAAAGCATGTTTTATATGTTTTAATATTTTATACTTAATTTTTAAGCCATTTATAAAATAAATATGTTTGTACAGGATAAAAGAGTTGAAGGACTATTTCATTTTGATTCTGACTCATATAATAAGAAGCTAGAACTATGTGATAAAGATTATAAAGCAGTAATCTTTTCAGATTGCCATGCCTGTTTATGGAGACATATGGTGTAGCCTGAAGAAAACCTTGGCTTTGGAGGCTATGGCTATGACTGAGTAAGTGCTGCGTCCCACGCAGCACAGGCAGTGAGGAGTCACAGGGGACAGCAAAGGTTTAAAGAAACACAAAGAGACAAAGATAGAGTTAAGACATGAGGCCAGGGGACTGCAGTTCTCGCTCTGGAACTGAGTGCTGAATCGGGCCAACATGTGGCTTTTATTGAGAAACTTCAAAAGAGTAAAGAAACTTTCTAAAGTCTGGGTGATAAGTGCCTTAAGGCCAGTTTCCATCAACCAGCCCCACTGTACTCCAACACATGCTGTGCCTTGTACTCCTACACATACAACCCCCAGGATGGTGCAGCTGCTGCTGCGGCCATGAGCTAAGGGAGATAACTGACATCATTCCTCTGGGTCCCAGTTTTCCAGGACACTCTCTTGAGGAAGCTTTACTGATATCATTCCACCAGGTCTCAGTTTTTCCAGACACTCCCTCGTGACCTTGTTAGGTCAGGGGCTGGTGTGGGGGGGCAGTCGAGGATGAGGTTGTAAGGCAACACCTAAATCCATTTGTCTCAGATTGTACTTCTCACAAAGAAATGGACTATGAAACAGTGTAAGCAATGAAGTACTAATGAGTCTCAAGTGACTCAGAGACCCTGAGGCAAGAACTGGAGAAAGTGACAGCATTGTTCATACTATGATGATTGATTTAATGACATGCTGAATTGTGAAAATAACAGATTAACATTCTTATATTGGATAGTTGTAATTGACTTCTAGTATGTATCATCACATTACTAGGTAATGCATCATTGAAAAGGAGATATTTCTACAATGATGAACCAAATAACTTCCCCCTCTGCTTTCTTTCTGGCTTAGTGCTATTTAGTATTTTTCTCAAACACATACCTTATTGGTATATAACATGTTTGTTGGTTTATCACATTAAGCACAAGTAGCATGGATAGGCATAGAACTTAGCATGCCAGCTCAAAAACTTGATCAGAAATGTTTAGAACAAAATTCATTGGTAATTCTGAATAGGAGAAAAGCGTATACATCAAAGAAATCCAAGTCAGTGTTTGTTAACTTAGATGCCAAAATAGTAGAAATATATATAGATTTTTTTTCCCCCCCAGTTCTGTCTTTTTAACAACAGAACTGTCTGAAAGTGGGATATACATACATATATGGTATCATGGCTGGGAGGATGTTGAATTAACCCGTTTTTATTCATATCAATCCTGGAGTCCCATGTCCACTTTAAAGATCTGGAAAATCATGATAATTAACATTTAAATAAGACTTTATAAAATACAAAGCATTTTCATATTTGTAACTACATTTACTCCTAACCAGTGTATCAGGTAGGTATTGTAGATGAGAATACTAATTTGGAGAATTAATTGTTTAACTGTACTCACACAACTAATAAGTAGTAACTTTAAGTACTGATCCTATGTTCTTCCCATTTCATCACATACTCTGAAGCTTCTGTAGTGAAAACTAGTTGTTTGTAAATAAAACTTCAAGAAAATATTTTAAAATTAAGATTATCTGATGTAAAGGGACCTGAATGATGATTACAGTATTTTCTCCATAGACCTAAGAAAGAAACAAGCAATATCGGGCTTAAGTGGCAATTTTTATTCAAAGAAGGGTTGCATTTTAGTTACTAAAATACATATTTGTGTCTGAGAAGCGTTATGGAATTATCTTCATAAGAAAAAATATTTGAAAATAAAATATCCATTCATTTATCAAGGAGTTATTTGTATAGTTTTACTTTGAGATAGATAAATGAACTGCATATATTTCATATAAAGTGTATATTCCACTTTATCATCTTAGTCACATGCATTACACTGACATGATTTATGTAATCAAATGACAGTTAAAAAATAATGTCTGTAAAATTGCACTATTCATTATTAGTATTTTTAGAAAGGCTCTATTCATTTTCTAAGAAGCTAGAGCATAAAACAAAAGTGCTTATAAAATACTACATTCATCAAATATGGTAAATTTGGTTTATTGTATTATAGTGAACTATTTTAATTTATGAGTTAAGTATGTTGTTATCATATTTTTCAGTCATAATAACTGAAGAATATACAGATGAAAAAGAATTGCTAGCAGCCAGTCTTTCCATGTACAGCAACTTTGTAGGTGTGATTTTCAAAGACTTCATGTCCTACGAACTCCGTTTTTTTCCTGATTTGATTCCAGTATCTTCTATTTATATGGATTCAAGAGGTAAATAGCCCTAAAAAAAAAATCATTGAAAATCAGTTAAATCCATGTCTTTGCTGCTCTTAGTTCATATGTAAAATTTAGTGGGGTCCAACATTGGCATTTTCAACTATACATATTTGTTCAGATAAGAAAACTGTCCAGTGTAGCATAAAAATATATATGCATACCCAAATATCTACCTATTTACATATATAATAATTTATATAACATGTATTTTTATTTTAATGTATTTATATCATATCAACTACAGTAACAAAGCAAAAATGTATCTTGAATTGTATGACTTTCTAAATCTGTATTTTTTTCCTCCATGTAATTGTTTTTACATATGGTGTATTACATTATCTTTAAAACCTCAAGGTTTTCCACCAGCGAACTTTATTACTTTTAGGTTTGAAACATGGAAAACAGCCTTCAGTGCTTAAACCTATGATGAGTTATTATCAACCGCAAACATTTGTTGAGCAGTGTTAAAGTCACTGTGCTAAGTACTGAATTTGTGACTTGATTTCAAAAAGCCCTTACAGAAAATTTTTTTCCCTCTTCTCTTAACCTGGACTTGTCCTTGCAACTGGAAGTGCTTTGAAGTTTACAAGTCATTGTAGAATAACTTACCTTAAAACAGAGAAGTGACTTATTTTAGATAACTGTGTTTACAATTAATTTCTTTCTTTCAATCGGTATTCATTTACCATTCAGTATCCTAACACATAATAACTTTCTTAATTTCAAAAATTTCAAAAAAACATTCAGGAATTTGATAAATATTGTTTGTCTTTGAAGGGCAATTGCATATTTTCTTTGGTCCTGTAGAGATTGATTAATTTGGTAACCCTTCATATGTTATCTTTAGAGGAAGGCACTAGCAAGTCATGCAAAATCTTATGTCTCACATTTTTTCCCCCATAGCTGGCTGTTCAAAATCATGTGAGGCTGTTCAGTACTGGACGTCTGGGTTCACAGTTTTACAAGCATCCATAGATGCTGCCATTATACAGGTAAATGTGATAAAGGAAGAAAAATAAAGCCAAACTGTATTTTAACAATTATGCCCTAAGTCTTTACAACCGGATTTGGTTTGACTGCTGTTAAGTGCAAAGTACGTAATTTATTACAACTCCATTAAGAAAAAAAGATAAGTCATATTTTCTGTTTTAATATTTTTTGAAACCCACATTTATTTGATGGTTTCTAAGCATATAGATTCAGCATCATTCTGTATATCTATGTATTATTATATCTGTGTTGACCATAGGTAATATTTATTAAAGACCTATATTTGCAAACTTTTCCCCTTGAATAAAAATAACTTAGTTTAAAGAAAATGCATATCTTTATTATCTAATTGTAGAATTGTTTTATTTAACAAGCATTTATCACTTATCTGCCAAACATTGTTTCTATATTATAACTAAGATTAACCCATTTAATTTTTAAAAACCTATGAGATAGGTGCTGTTATTATGTCCATTTTATATATTGAAACTGAAGCACAGGGAGAACAAGTGACTTTCCAAAACGCAATTAGTGGCACAGTGGGTTCAAACTTTGGCTTTTTGGCTCCCAAGCCTGTGCTTTATTCCTATGCTGCCACTAAGATTGTGTATAAATGTTACAGTTACATTCTAAAGATATGCTTAGACCCTATCCAGGGTGTCACATTTTAGTAGAAATGAACAGGAGGCCTACCTGTTAGTTGTTGCTGTACTGTATAGCAAAATAACTACAGTAATAATGCCTTATTTGACAGCGTTGTTGTAATAACTGAATGAGATTGATATATGTATTAATAGAATTGTCTTATAAACTCCCACAACATGGTATAAATGTATTTTGGATATGTAACATTACATGAATTCAATAATACAGAATTTTAAAGTAAAGACAGTGAAGTATTAGATATATCACGTTGATGGTGTTTTAGTACTTAGTTATGTTTTGACCAAAGACCTTAGCCATCTACTCCCCAGACCACACTGGATGAATAGGCAGAGCAGATCTCATTTTAGACATTCGTTTGAATGTTAGATAGAGGTAACATATGAGATAGTTTTATTATTCTATCTATATGTACTGTATATATAGATTTTAAAACAGGAGGATATACTATTTTTAAATATACTATTTAAAAGAACATTTTTATTTATTTTTTTTTAGCAGAGCCATCCTGCCACCTGTTGGCAGCTCAGCAGCAGCTAAGCTCGGGCCGGGCATCGAACTGCTGTTGCTCAGAGCTCACATTCTTGAGCGAGCTCTTAACCAGCTGAGCCACTCAGCTGGCCCTTTAAAAGAACATTTTTAAAGAGAATCATTCTTTCATGGTACTAATAATAATTCCTTAATTCCTCAATTTTATAAATGCATATTTTTCTTAAGATACATAAATAATTGTCTGCCTAAGATGACTGCAATTTTATTTCATTTGACAAATTATTTTGTCAGAAAAGTATATATACTTCTCAACTTCAGACTTTTAAACTTTATGGTCTGTTTCCAGAACGAATAAAAGCAACATTCTATTCTCATGATATTGGGGTCAATCACTTTATTTCAGGTGTGTAGCTTCTTGAGGATTGTATTCGTATTAGGTTATTGACTAAACTTTTGGGTATATTTGTCACACTTTGCTGGGGCTACTGTCAGAACTAAATTAATTGAGTATATTTACATTTTCTAATTATAGTTGAAGACCAATGTTTCTGTATGGAAGGAGCTGGAGTCAACTAAAGCTGTTATTATGGGAGAAACTGCTGTTATAGACATAGATACCTTTCCCCGAGGAGTGATTTTAATATACTTAGTTATAGCATTTTCACCCTTTGGATACTTTTTGGCAATTCATATCGTGGCAGAAAAAGAGAAAAAGTTAAAAGAGTTTTTAAAGATAATGGGACTTCATGACACTGCCTTTTGGTATGTTATTAAAAGTTTATTATTCACTATGATTAATATATTAAATGTACAGATATTCAGAACTGTAATTTTGTTATTCACCTGACTTGGTAAGAGAGGTACTGATACTGTTTTCTTACAATGATTATCTTTCTCTTGGAATTTGAGACTAGTCAACAAGTTTCAGCAATCAATTGGCTTGTTTTAACATGGGGAGGTGGGATTCAGAAAGCTAGTTGACATCACACGTTTAAATTTTATTTCGCATTTTGTTTGAATCAAAGCGTGCTCCATGTATTTCAATGTATTTTTCAGTGTATAGAATATATGAGATCTTGGAATGTTAGAAAATAATTGCCTGTTATAGTCCTTCCCCAATATCATAGCATATACATGTTATTAAAAATTCAGTTAAAATGATTGAAGTTTGTGTATGTAGTATGTGGGCTTTTTTTCCCCCCTGGAAAAAAAGTTATTTGTGTGAATTCAGATCAAAATATATGAACAATTTATAGAGAAATAAATGCAAAAAAATGTTTTTTCACAAGTGAGCTTCAATGTATCAGCATTTTTGTACAATAATTTTATAGAAGCATACATTTTTATAAGTAATTCTAAGTGAATTTTCCCACTATGTTATAAGAAAATGTATTTTGACTACATTTTGGGAGAAAAGTTAATAAGCATGTGAGTTGGTATTATAGTCCATTTTACAAAGTTTTATTTAATTTAGCCCAGTGCAGTAATTACAACATTTTACCTAATGGGGTCATTGTGTATAACATAATTTCTTTGCTCCTTTTTTTTTTTTCTTCTGTCATTTTAGTGTGATTGGTTTTTTTTTTTTTTTAAAGATTTTTATTGGGGAATTGGGGGGATGGGAACAGTGCTGGGGAATTGGGGGAAGGGGAACAGACAAGTTGCTGTCCTTTTGT